AGCCGCGCGCCTCGCTCTCGCTCCACACCTAGCACCTGCTGGGGTGGCCGCGGTCCACTTTGACGCGGCCCCTGGCCCCGGCCCCCACCGTGGCCAGCTGCTGCTGCTGCTGCTGCTGCTGGTGCAGCTGCTGCTCCTCCTCGTTGGTCACCTCGTCTTCCTCCTCCTTCGCCTTCTCCTTCTTCTGCTGTGCTCGTGCCGCCCCAAGCGGGCGCCGCCTCTCTCTGGGGACCCGGCGGGATGGCAACATGCTGAGGAGGAGGGAGGAGGAGGAGGCGGCGGCAAAAGCACCCGCCGAGGAGCGGCGGTGGCGGTGCAACCAGCAGTTGTAACGGCCGCCGCCGCCACTCACGCCTCGCCTCGCCTCCCTCCTCCCACCGCCCCCCCCCGTTCGGTGCCCTCTCTTCACCCAGAACCAACAGCGCCTGTGAGTAAAACGCACGCGAGCGGGCGAGAGCACGCGCAGGCACGCACACATACACAAGAGGGAGAGATCCCGCCAGGCGGGCCGACCTCACTTTGGGGGGGGGGCGGGGGAGGAGACGAGGCGAGAGAGGNCCTTACGCGAGTCCAGGAGGACGAGGAGCAGAAGCACCCGGAGCCTCGCCAGCCCGCTCCCTGCCTTGCCCCGCCGCCTTCCTCGCTGGCTGGCTGGCTGGCTGGCTGCGTGAGAGTCTGGTCGGCTCTCTGCCGGCGGCACAGTCTGGAAGCTCCAGCCAAACCACATGATCATAACAAGCCGGGCTTTCCCCCTCCTCCTCTTGCTGCTGCTGCCGCTGCCGCGTGAGATCTGCGCTCCTGAAGCGAAGCGGGAGAAGAAGAGGGGCGGAAGGGCAGCAGTCGGGCCAAGAGGAGGACTTGGCCCTTCTCTTGGCTCTTGCTCTCCGCTCCATCATCTCTCCCCGCCTGCTTTTATTTAAAAATGCGCATACCCATGCTGGTTCCCGTCCCTCCATTTATGTATTCGGTGGTGCCCCCCAGGCGGCCGCTGCGCCTCCTCAGAAAGCAGCCCTTCGGTTCCTGCGCAGACACAACCCTATTTCTCCCTCCCCAAAGCCCTCGCAGCGCCAGGCTTGCCTCATCCTTCTGCCTGTCGCAAGTCCTATCTGTCCTCCTCCTATAGTGCCGATCCTCCGTGCGGAAAACCCCACCCCACTCCCGTTTCATATGCCCTACTTCTTAGCTTCACAGCCCGTGTGGTGTGTACAGTGTTGGATTAGGACTCAGGGGACCTGGGTTCAAGCCCTCGCTGGACCTGGAAACTAATGGCGGGTGTGATCACGGTAAGCCATTCCTTAAATAGCTCACATAGCTTGAAAACCCTATTAGGGTCGCCGTGAATTGGAAGCGACTTCAGGGCACAGAACAGAATCCCTTCTCCTTTCAGAGCCCTCCTTTCTCCTTGCCCTATTTCTAAGAGCCCCCGCTTTGCATGCCTTACTCTTACGGACTCCGTCCTATGTTACCCTAATTTCCACACATACATACATACATACACACGGACCATGTGCCCCTTTCGGGAACGGGGGGGGGCTTCAGTGTTTATGAACTCCTTTCCGTGCCTCTATAACAGCCCCGGTCCTTCCTGTTATTGAGAGGTACCCTTGTATATAGACAAATTATCTTTGTCTGGCGTGCAACAGCAAAAATGTCGTTCTAGCCCAGTCTGGCTCCCCGCACGGCGCTCCCTTCCCTACGACGAGGGGAAACCCCAAAGCCACTCCCTCTTGTCACCGTGTTTGCGCGCCTTATATGCACACACACACACCCGTCTGAGAGTCTTACACTGACCTGACCCGAGTGCCGCTTTCTGATTGGAAGGAGCATGGCAAAGGACCCGGACCTCGGGGCTCTCCCATTGGCCCTTCCCAGCCGGCATTCTAAAGGAGGAGGAGCAGGAAAGACGCTTTCGGCAGAAGAAGGGGACCTCCCTTCGTGACGTCAGCGCCTCTTGATTTACCTGCTAGTAACCCTGGGCAACGGATCTCACTGCCGGGCCGCTGCGAGCCCAATCCATACCCATATCGTTGCCTCTTCGTGACCGCTTGCGCTGCGCCCCGCCCACTTTGCTACGCAGCTCCTGCCGGCTTCGGATAAAATGCTGCTTTGGCCACGCCCACTTATAAGACCTTGTCCTCTTGGTATTTCCCCACGTTAATCGGGAGCGGATCTCGAAGTGGAGCAGTGCACTGCCTGTGTATTACACGTCGACACGAAGGACAGTTGTGGTGTTTTGTTTTTTTTAGTCAAAAAATAGGCCAAGTTGATTTCAGTAGGTCTTGCTCCCAAATAATAATGTTTAAAATTGACATTACATTGTGAAAATATTGTTTTCACAAATAAGTAACATGGGAATGGAAAGGTGGAATAAATCTCAAACATGCATGGGGGCAGCCCTAAGGCAATCCTTCATATATGACTGATTCAGGCATTACGGAGAGCTAGCCTTCGCAAATACATTGTCTCAGCTTGAGTTATTTCCTCAGTGTTAACCAGGTTTGTTGCAACAAAATAAACAAAAAAAATGGCAGTTTAAATACTAGCATACTAAATAAAACAATTTTAATCGTTAAAATGATACAAAACTTTACAGTTCTTAAATAGTTCCAGAGAAATTCCTGATGCTACATGCCATCAAGTCAGCTCCAACTTATGATGACCTCATGAACGAAGTGACCTTTAAAATGTCCTGCAAACTCCAGGCTGTGGCTTCCTTTATGGAATCAATCCGTCTCATATTTTGTTTTCTTCTTTGTGCCCTTCAACTTTTCATAGCTTTAGTGTCTTTTCCACCAACTCTTGTCATAACATTATGTGTTCAATGTACAACAGCCTCCGTTTTGTTTTTTTTTGCCTTCAGAGTGTGTTCAGGCTTGATCTAATTATGTTAATACTAGTCTTGTACAACTCCTGCATGGATTGCTGCCTTGTCGTGGCGAAGGGGCTTGAGTAACTCAGAGAAGCTATGGGCTATGCCGTGCAGGGACACCCAAGACGGCTATCTATCTATCTATCTATCTATCTATCTATCTATCTATCTATCTATCTATCTATCTATCTATCTATCTATCTATCTATCTATCTATCTATCTATCTATCTATCTTTAACACATAATTTTTCACATAAAATAACACAGATATGATAGTAATCATTAATATATATTCATTCCACACACAAAGAGTGATGTATCTCTAGTGTATCCCTAACCTAAATTTCCTTTTTAATGCTAGCCATTTCCCCTCCTCTTATCCCAGTAGTCCCTCATCTAGAAATAAGGGGATACTAAATTCAGTGCTACATTAACACAATTATTACAATTAAAAATAATAGCATTTTTCAGAGTATATTGTTTGTAAGACTTGTCTGGAACTAGCCATTTTTAATTTTCCAAGACATTTAAAAATATTTATTAAGATAGATATTGTTGTATGCAATAAAATAAAATAAAACAAAAAGAATTAACAGATGCCTAGTACACAAGAGATGAACTATAGAGTTTACAACCAAAGGGGAAGGACTTCATTGTTACAGTCTATATAACACAGCAGAAGAGTGGGCCCAGCTAGGGTTTGGAGGAACCAATGTCAGGATATAACCAATATACATATTTAAGTTGTGAAATCAATAGTATCTGTACATATTTGTTTTTCTATTTCAGATATATTTCGGGACAAACAAACAAACAACCCTTTGCAAATATAAGATTTGTTAGCTCGCAGAAAGGATCTCATAGCTGAAATTTATCTGATATGCTTTATATAATTGTCCATCAAATGCATATGATCAGGTACTACTATGAACTAATTCTTAGTGGGGTCCACCAGGGTTCTGAGGGAAAAGATTTTGAGTTATAACCAAATTTGTTATTTAATGTTGGAAAATCTGCAAAATTTCACTTTTTAAAATCTCACTGTTTCAGAAATTTTTGGAGACAAACACATTATGTATAAGATGTTAATTAACTAAGACAAGAAAATTAAACAAAAGCAATTCTGGACTAACATTAGACAAGATTATGACCTTGCATATTGCAAAATTTGGAAGAGTTGATTTTGGGGGTACAACTCTCAGATTCTGAAAACAGTCATCCATTTTATATGACTGGCTAGGTGGACAGTAAGCGTAAGCCAGCTTCCTATAGTCCTGTAACTTTCATAGTGGCAGCAAAACACTAAGAATGCAAATCAACCTGTTTTAATGTCAACCTGTTGTCTCAGCTGTGCCGTCCATTTATGGTGAGGAGCAAGGTGGAAAGTATTTTTTTCAAAAAATTAAAAACACCACCTAGAAATAAGTTGTAATCTGATTTCATCCCTTCCCTAGGGCTTCTGCTTCTCTATGCCAGTGTATACACGATAAAAGTCTATGCCAAGAATCTCTATAATGAGTGTGCATAGAAGCTGTTTTTCCCGCCCAACTGCTTCCACCCCCAAAATTTCACATGGTTGGACATAACTTCTACAGCACCCTATTGCTATCTGCATATTATTGTCGTGGCCAGTAACAGCACCAGCTCTCACTCTCTTTCTTTCAATCTCCAATGGGAGCAGGCTGTTTGGGCTTTTGCGTTCTCTGGACTGATGAAAAGAGATTGGTCTCCCCAGCAGGCCACCCCAAAGGATCAGCCTCACCACAGCCAGGTGTGAAATGTGCATTGTTTGTACCTGCCAGCTCCAGCCGTTCACAGCAATCAACTTTGGCTCTTTTGTGCACAGCAGAGCAGGTTGGGATGAGGACACCAAGGGAGTGTCAGCTTTTCTGAATGTAGAACACCTGGGCTGGAAACTAGCCAAGTTACCTCCTGAACTGAAGTCTCTGCCAGCCTGATCAGAGCAAGAAGAACTCATGCACACTTTAGACCCACATTGTTACTTGACATTAACACACTCGCTCCAGATGCTGCAGGTTCAGAGTCAGAAAAGAGAAGCCCTGACAGCACCAGAGCTGCTGCTTTCTGTGCTGACACTAATCTAAAGCAAAAGGCAGGGGAAGGAAACAGGTGGGGAATAGTTACAACTCACAAGAATCAAGAAAGAGTAGTAAGTGATAAGAAAAATTATTTTTGGAATAACTTCCACATAATCCCGGGGCCAGTATGGGACGTTGAAGAAATAGCTATATACAAACAGACTTATATAATCATAGAATGATAGAATAATAAAGTTGGAAGGGGCCTATAAGGCCATTGAGTCCTGCTCAACCTCCTGCTCAATACAGGAATACAAATCAAAGGATATCTGCCAGGTCTTTGTCTAAATTAATATTGAATGCCTCCAGTGTTGGAGCACTTGTAACTTCCTGAGGTCATTACTACTCTAACAGGAAGTTTTTCTTGATATCCAAACAAAATCTGATTTCCTGTAACTTGAACCCATTGTTATGCATCCTGTACTCCAGGTTGATCAAGAACAGATCCTGCCCCTCCTCTATATGACAGCCTTTCAAGAATTTTAAAAGTGCTATCATGTCTTCCCTCTTTCCTCATATTTGTGTCACCAATATGCGGATGATACTCAGCTCTATCTCTCCATCCATCCTTCTGCAGTGGATGCTGTCCCATCCTTGAGTGCTGCCTGCATGCAGTGCTGGGATGGATGAGGGACAACAGACTGAGGCTGAACCCAGACAAGATGGAAATCCTGTGGGTGGGGGACTCTAGTGTCTGTGGGCCTCCCTATCTTGGGGGGGGGCACTCTTTCCATGAAGGATGAGGTTCGTAGCTTTGGCATGCTTTTGGACCCATTGCTATCAATGACATCTCAGATAGTGTCTGTGATCTGATCCATTTATTTCCACCTAAAGTGGATCGCCCAGCTACGTCCCTACCTGGACAACAGGTCTCTCACCACGCTGGTCCATGCATTGGTAATTTTGAGATTAGACTACTGTAATGCCCTCTACGTGGGCTGCCCCTGGGACTGCTACAGAGACTGTAACGGGTCCAGAGTGTGGTGGCCAGATTTCTGAGTGGGATTAGAAAATACCAACATATCTCCCCCACCCTGGCTGCCTTACATTGGCTACCTGTTCACTTCCATTCCAGTTTCAAGGTGATGGTACTAACCTATAAGGCCCTAAATGGATTGGGACCTCGATATCTGGCCGAGTGCCTCCTTCCAGTTAGGTCTGCCTGTCCTATAAGATCATTGCGGGCAGGGGGGCTGAGAGTTCTGACCCCGAGAGAGGCCCAGAAAACAACCAGTAGACATTGGGCCTTCTCGGTGGTAGTGTAACAATTATGGAACTCTGTTCCACCTAAAGTCTGCCTGGCCCCTTCACTAGGCACATTCAAAAAGCTACTAAAAAACCTGGGTATTTAGACAGGTCTTCCATGAACAAACTATACTCTGATACAATAGTGTCCAATAATATAACTTCTATCATACTGCCATGGCCCATGTTTAATTGTATTTATTGTATTATAATTTTATCCTCACTGCACTTTATAATTTTTTTGATTTTCGCCCCTATGTATTAATGTTGCTATTTGCTATTTTGTTACTTTGTTGTTATTTGTTGTAAATCACCCAGATTGGCCTTGGCTGCCAGATAGGTGGCAAATAAATAAATAAATATGATGACGGTGCATGAGATTTGCAGTCCAACCCCCCACAGAGGATCACAAGGTTCCCCTTCTCTGCTCTGACCACAACACCACACTTACCAAAGGGAGCTGCAGACAGATAATGTGCAGAAGGCTGTGACAGCAAATGGCTGTCAGCCTGTTGCCTCTTAAGAAATCCAAGGTCTCATTAGGAAACAAAATTGCCCTCAGCATAACATTCATATGTATATTAAAGGAAGAACTCATCAGCCCCACCCCTACCCACTAATTAGCCATATGAGGACCTTCAATTTTTGCAAAAACTAATGCTAAC